ACCGCCCATCCTGGTTATTGGAATCATTTTTATGAAGTTGAGACATGCGAGGTTTACAGAAAACCTAATTTTTTTGTCCCTTTTGGCTTATTCATTCTGGAAATATATCAATCAGTACATTTCCTAATTCTGGAAATATTTCAATATTGCCTCACCTCTCCTCCTGGTTATTGGAATCATTTTTATGAAGTTGAGACTTGCGAGGTTTACAGAAAACCTAATTTTTTGTCCCTTTTGGCTCATTAAGTTTTTAGAAAGACTTTAGGTTGTTTTTTATCTTTTACCCTCAAATACATGTATGCTTACACACATTTTGTTGTGAGGCAAGCCAGAACAGGTGAATAGAAATTTTCTTTCTTGCCATTGGCCTTTTGCTCAAGTGGCATAGGCAGCAACAGGGGGGAGGAATTTGTGGGGTGTGAGGGGTTAGCCAACGTTGCTTAACAGCCAAAAAACTAATTAACAAAAGTGAGATTTAGGATGTGATGTAGTCTAATGCATACCTTAGTAAACTGAAGGGGCTTACAAATTGCTTACGAGCCATGAAAGGCAGCTGTGCCACAAGTTGGTTTGCCAGCCATGGGGCCTTGAGAAGCCACAATTTAAAGAAGATTCATTTCTCACATGATTTTTCCTTGAGTGATCACTTATCATGTCTACTAAAGCCATGTAAGTCTCGATAGTTTGGCTGAAATGTACTTCTTGTTTACTGCTTGTATTTGTTTATACTTGGAATCCATGCATTACTGGATGGTCAGAAAATGTTTCATTGATTCTATCTGAAGATATCACCATGACCGATACGGAGTTGAATATTCAGAGATTAGTCTGGAACCTCAAATCAGCCATATAATCTGCACTCTCTTGGTGAATCCATTTTGAAAGCATTATTTGGACACCTTCCAGCTTACTCTCATGCAACTTCAACATTTAAATATGAAAATGATTGTTGCATAGTTTTATTAACATGAAAAAAGAAAATTGAAGTATAATATTATGGTTTTTTCCCATAATCTTTTCTATTTTGACTTAACAATGTTTCTTGGTTGGATCCTCTAGGTGATGGTATTCGATGAAACGACTTGATATTGCTTCAAAGGTTACTGTCATGGATGAAACAAGCTACAAGACGAGAAGAAAACAAAAGAAGACTGTATAGAGTTTTTTGTGAATACCCGCAAGTGTTTGCTGTCTATAGTGAAGATGAACAATTGCTCTTCATAACAATTGTTACAAAGCACATTCTCCTGGAAAAGCCCCGTTCTTAATTTTTTTTCTCCATCCATATGAATGAGAAATCTGCTTATAGTCGCTCATAAGCATTAAAAGGCATGACTCGATGTTTGCTGTGTAGTTTTTTGAGGATAGAATCCAGCAAAAGACATCCTTTTACCAAGCTACCATGGATACGAGTTAGAACAGGCATTGAAGGACTGAAGGTTCGATGCCTTCTTTGGTTGCGCTATTACTACACCCTTCATTTACTGTTGAGGTTTCAACATGGTAGCTTGTTTACTAATTTGCACCAATTTTGATCCCAACATGGCAAGGTGGTCGTCAATCTATCTTATTAAAATTCAAATCACGAGGAGGTCACGTGCCCTTCATTCCTTCCCTTGTGATCCGTTAAATCTTATCTACTCTATTTTCTTCTTAAAACTAATAATTATTTTACAACCAAATAACAATTGTCTAAAAAACTTTTATTTTCTTTTAATACACTTTAATACCAAAATCAGAATGCTTAACAACACATATAGATCAAAATTGAAGGTTTAAGATCATGAAAATTAGAGATCGGAGGACTCTCGTCTAATCATATTATTGAAGATTTTTTATTTTTGTTAGCTCCAAATTATTATTTTTTGAAAGTTTTTTTACAACGTTTTTTATGTATTAATATTAAAATTAAATTTTAAAAATAAAAAATTATTTTAATATATATATATATATATATATATATATATAAATTTAAAAATAATTTCTACTATGGTCACACTTAAACAGGTACAAACATGGAACAACTAGTGTATGGAGCTAATTAAAATATATCTAATAAGTTGAGGACAGCATTGTAGTTTTTCTGAAAGTTAAGGGGAAGGTCACTGGTCAACGTCAGCGGTCAGATCTCATGGTTTGGTAGCGGACAAGGGGAATAATGAGAGGGTCCCGATGACGTCAAGTAAAAGTTACAGATTTTTTTTTTTTAAAAAAAGATTCGATAAAAATTCATCATATATTTAGAAAATTTAGTCAACTCAACGCTACCGAACTAAATTATATTAAATTGAAACATGAATGCTAATTAAAATTTTTAAATAAATAAATATTTATTTATTTTTATTATTATATGTTTGAAAATGTTTAAGGAAAAAAGTAAAATGTAAAAAAAAATTTTTTTAAACTTTATTTGAAGCCTTATTAAATTCAATTGGTTATAACCAACAAACTTATTGGGGACAATTTCTATAGAATTTCTTGAAAAAAAAATAATTCTAATCCAAAAATAAATTTACTTCTCTAGTCTATAACTATATTTATCATATTTTTTTATAAAATTTGTTTATATTTGTTTTTGTGTTTAAAAATGCTTTTGAACAAATTTAAAAATTGTTATTTTTTATTTATTTTAAATTAATATATTTTTAGTATTTTAAAATCATTTTGATTTACAGCTATTAAAAATAATTTTTATAAAAATAAAAAAAATATTATTTTAATATATTTTAACACAATTTTTTTTTAAATAACTATAATTACACACCTAAATATTCATACTCCTATAATTCATATCATAGTAGTAACAAGACATTGCAATAACAACTTTTTTCGGTTCGCAGGTCAAAAAAAGTATAAGTAGTTGGAAAGCATTTATAAGATATTTTGATAATTTTTATTTTTTTAATTATTTTTTAAAAGTATTTTTTAATTTAAAAATTATTAAAATTGATAATTTTTTTAATATTTCATGATTTTAATGTGCTAATATAAAAACTATATAAAAAAATTATTTTAATATATTTTCAGATAAAAAATTATTTTAAAACCTACTATACATCAAAATCCTAATATTTTATTCAAAGAATTAATAAATGGACTCAGAGGCATCAATCAGGTTACCTCATAGCTCCGTTGAGATAAAACAATTCTGATTGAAAATTTATGAGAAGTCCAAGGCATGGTAACATCTTCATTCTGTTTTCGAAAATATTATTTTAATATATTTTAACACAATTTTTTTTAAATAACTATAATTGCACACCTAAATATTCATACTCCTATAATTCATATCATAGTAGTAACAAGACATTGCAATAACAACTTATCATAGTAGTAACAAGACATTGCAATAAATAACAACCTTTTTCGGTTCGCAGGTCAAAAAAAATATAAGTAGTTGGAAAGCATTTATAAGATATTTTGATAATTTTTATTTTTTTAATTTAAAAAATTATTAAAATTGATTTTTTTTAATATTTCATGATTTTAATGTGCTAATATAAAAACTATATAAAAAATTATTTTAATATATTTTTAGATAAAAAATTATTTTAAAACTTACTATACATCAAAATCCTAATATTGTATTCAAAGAATTAATAAATGGACTCAGAGGCATCAATCAGGTTACCTCATCACTCCCTTGAAATAAAACAATTCTGATTGGAAGTTTATGAGAAGTCCAAGTCATGGAAACATCTTCATTCTGTTTGCACCTCAAAACATTTGCTAATTATTTTTATTATTTTTTTGACCCGGCCGACCCGTTCGACCCGGTCAAAACCCGGTGACCCGGTCAAAACCCGGAACCCGAGCCTTGGACCGGGTCAGCCACCGGGCCGGGTTTAAAAACTATACTAATAACACACTCTTGCTTTCCTTTTTCTTAGTAAGATTTCACGTTCACCACGCATAGGCTTTGTTTGGGAATGCAGCCTGCTCGACAATTAGCTGTATGTTCATATGAGCTCTACAAGTATGATTGATATTATAATAATAATTATTTTTATTTTTTAAATTATATATTTTAAAAAAATAAAAAAAATATAAACTTTTTTAAAAACACTTTTAAAATGTAAAAATAAACCAGCCATTTATCAGTAATTTTAGACTCCCCTGCACTTCCATTTCGTTTGTAGCGATTCTATGAGCCTTGTACAGCAAGACTAATATGAAACCCTAACAAGAGTGAAAAATGTTGCCTGTTCTGTAGAAATGCATTGCAGGGGATTGGAAGGATGCTTTGAAAAAAGAAGAAGAAGACCGTAGTCTCTATTTATTGTAATATGTAAGCTTTATGATTGTATTTGCGGGACATGTAAAACACAAAGGATCGTGTATGGAGTATATATTCTCCTATAGCAAGTTTATTGTTTCCAAGGAAAGCAGATGTTACATTACAGGAATATAAATTTTTCGTAGCGAGGAACAATCATTTTGCGGAAACTTCAAAAGCTTTCTGGAAAACCTCAGGGGGCTGGCCACCACTCAACTTCTGTTTCCCATTGATCTGCTCAAAAAATTCCATGTCAACGGACCTTTTGCATGCCGAAACAAAGATCTATGCTAAATAAGAAAGGATGCTTTATGACATACCACGTAGAATGGGACTCCTGTGATATGTGCTGAGTACCTCTCAAGCTCCTCGTTAACCTTCAGATGATCGTAAACAGAAAGTTCAGCCCAAATGAAGTTGCTAGTCAGGCTAGTTTTCAATTTATGAGAATAAGGAAAGGTAACAAAGGCAATCGATTTCATCTGAAGAGAGCCCATGACTGGTTTGATTGTGAAAATATGTAGTAAAGTGACATTTTAGGGGAGATGTGCCTGCTGTCAATCAGGATTCAAAAGAAGTGTGATGGAAGAGACTTGGACAATATTCCATTCCATTGTTTTTCAGAAAAAAGAAAGCAATGAAATTAATCCTTGAATGCTTCCCAAATAGAGAAAAAACCACCAATTTTA